TGCCTATTCTTCCTAGCCAAATCCTTGAAAAGTAACTAATGCAAAGATAGAGTAACTTTATCTATTGCTATGACAACTGCACACAAATTTAAAGTAGAAGTTTGGAAAGGAATTGGAGATTGTAATCTCTAGCGTTAAAAGATAAGAGCTATGTTGTTACAACAAAGGTGTGTTGTTGTCCTAGATAGATCATGGGGTACTAAAATTTGTGCTTATAGGATATAGGAATTAGATGAGATTGCTTAGAATTCAATCTTTCTACGCTTGTCTGATAGTGTGATAAGAAAGATTAGGGAAACTACAACTACTGCAACTTTGTGGACTAAGTTAGAATCCCTTACTTAACCAAGGTAATGCCTAATAAATGCTATCTTCTTAGACAATTCTATAATTTTAGATTTGATACCTTATCCAATCTAGAAGAAAACATTGATAAATCCTCTAAATTGTTTCAAGATCTGACTAATTGTGATGAGAAACTATCTGATGATCAACTAGTTTTTGCTCTGTTGAATGCACTAGGTGATAGATACAAAGAACATAGAAATGCTTTAGAAAATGAAAGAGAGTATTTGACTATTGATGTTATTATCTCAGCCTTAAAGAATAGAGAACTTGAACTAAACTCTAAAGCCAAGGACTCTAATGGAGAAGAGTTAAATAATAAAGGGATATTAAATCCTAACAAAAGGAGTAATCAATGCAATTTTAACTCTCACAAGAAAGGAAAATCTCAAACTTCTAAATTTAGAAATTAAAACAAGAGTTAACTTAAATCGTAGAATCAATTCAGGAAATGTTACTACTATGGTAAAACTGGACATCTCATAAAAGATTGTTTCAAGAAGATATCTGATATGAAAGGAAAGTCTAATTCCAATAGATCAGCTATCATAGCTTGTAATGATGAATCTAAATACAAGGAATTGTCCTTGTTATTTTCAATTAAAAGAAACCCAAAGGAATGGATTCTTGACTCTGATTGTTCTTTTCATATGTGTCCCATTAAAGAATGGTTCATTGAATTTGATATTTTGAATGGTGGTCAAATTCAAATGGGAAATGATATGACTTGTAAAATAAAAGGTATTGATAAAATTGACCTTTTGTTAGAAAACAATCATATTCTTGATCTACCCTTAATACGATATGTTCCTAATCTTCAAAGAAATCTGATTTCCTTGAAACAATTGGATAATGAATATGAAATTAAATTCCGTAAACGATTTACCAAAGTGGATTTCAATTCTAAGAAAATAATAGCCAAGGTTAATGGAATTTACACACTTTTAGCTGAACCATTAGTTGGAAATTTATTAGCTGTTGTTCAGTCTTTTGATGATAAATCTTTAATTTGGCATAAGAGATTGGGGCATGTTAGTGAAAAGTGATTGATGATTCTTAACAAACTTGGATGTTTTGGAAAAGATGATATTAAGAGTTTGAAATTTTATGAAGATTGTGTCATTGAAAAACAAAATAAGCTACCTTTTAAAATAGGAATTCATAAATCCTCTTTAATACTTGATTATTTACATGCTGACTTTTAGGGTGCAGCACCAGTAAGTACTCTGAGTAAATTTAGATTCTATCTACTAATTGTAGATGATTTTTTAAGAAAAAATTGAACATTCCTTTTAAAAACTAAATCTGACACATTCCAAAGTTTTAAACAATGGAAATTGACGATTGAAAATCAAACTAATAAAAAAATCAAAGCACTTAAAATGAATAGTGGACTTGAATTTTGTAACACTGAATTTGATCTATCTTGTAAATAATTTGATATTTTAAGGCATAGAACAACAACATACACTCTTCGGCAAAATAGAGTTGCTGAAAGAATAAATAGAACTTTACTTGAAAAAGTTAGGCATATGTTGTTAAGTTCTTGTCTTCCAAGACTATTTTTGGGTGAAGCTTTAAAGACTACCACTTATCTGATAAATAGGATTCCTTCTAGTGGTATTGATTTTCAAATCCCTAAATAATTGGAACAGAAAGAGTATAAAGGTAATGAATATGACACAAAAAGCAATCCATAAATACACAAATGTCCAAAATATTTTGTTACCATTGAAATTGATATGTAAACTTTTGAATAGTATTAGGCATAAAAGTGCAAATTAGTCATTATCTTTAATTTTCAACAATGAAAAAGGTTAATATGAAATAATTGACAAAAATTGTAGTTTAAGTATATTTATGCATACATAATTGTTAGTTTTTCGTCAAATATTATTAAATTAATTAGTCACAAATTATTTTCGATTACTAATAAAAAAAATTATAGATTACAGTTTATTTATCGATCACAAATTACAAATTTGATAGGTCACAACCTATTTCACCATCACAAACTAAAAATTTTATAAGTCACAACTTATTTTACGCTCGTAAACTATCAAATTAATTAGTTACAATTAACCACATTTTAAGTTACGACGACACATTCTTCTAGATCACATATTATTTACCAATTACAAATTAATAATTTATTGGTCCCAAAACCCAAAACCCAAAATAATTGGTTACAAACACTCTTCCTTTCCTCCCCACCCCACCACAATGAGCACCGCATCCAGAACTGCACCACCTTACCAGCATCACCATAGCGTTGCCACACCACTGTCGCACAATACACCCGTAGCACACCACCACTACACAATGATAACAAATAAAATTCATTCCAAAATACTGACTATACCGACTAAGCAAGGATGAAGAAGAAACCACCCTCAAAACCACGACTAGCGTCGCTGCCGCGCAGCGAGCACCTCTCAGATCAGTGCATCGCTAAACACCACAATCAATACCACACCAACAAAGACTCCTTCAACATAAACACTATAACCGTCAATGATATACCACCGTGTCGCTGTTGCTTCATGCATACGGCGCCCCGTTCGCCATTGCAGCTTGTGAGCAGTAGCACCGTGATCAAGCGCTACTGAGCATGAACTGCAGCAGAATGAGGCGCTTGCTACTCTTGTCTTCTAGAGCAAGGACGCCACTGTGCGTCGTGAAGATCGACGGAGAATGGGCGGATGAAGATGCATCGCGAAGTGAAAGGGTGGAGAGATATTTGTGAAAATATATTAAGGATTGTGGAGTGGAGGTGGTTTTATGGTTTGAAATTAGGTAGAGGGGTTGTAAATTTATTTAATTTTATAATAATATTATTAATATTTAAAATCATATTATCATCTGATTTTTGTATAAAAACCTTTAAATTTGAATTTTGAAGTTGAAATTTAAGAAAGCTGGTTGGGTGTAATTTTCACTTTTAAATTTTTAAGTATGGAAATCCGTTCTTTATTTTGAAAGGTCTCAACACACAAAAAAAAAAATGTTTGGTTTGATAAATTGCATTAAGGATCATATCAATTAGAGTATACAAATAGACCTTTTTCACTATTCTACTAAAATTGTGATAGATGGTTTAGAGGATAATATTGTTAAAACTTGAGTTCCATCTTAACATGATTAAACATTAAGGAAAGTAGTCCAAATCTTTATGTATTGATCTACATTTTTATATTCAATGTGAGATTTATTCCTTAACGGGTATCAATTAAATCTATTTCATTAAAAAATATGGTATGTGTCTAAATTCGTAGTTGGACAAAACAAAATTTATGATCAACTTTTTATATCCATTAAATATTTTGTCTATCCAAGTAACTTCGCATTGACTAGCTTGTTGACATTGCCTACGTTACAAGGGCAAGTCGAGAAGTCAATGAAGGAAAAAAAATGTCTAGCCTTAGGCTACTTCTAAAAGAAAGAAGGAAAGCCTATTTATCTAAAATTGGGAGGTTTTTGAGATCTGATTTGCCAATACGATACTGTTTCGTCTTCACGAATAAGCATATCATATCTCGAGTGGTACATCATCAACCTTGATAGTCCAATTTGGTCCCACCAACCATGTTCATGATCCCAAGATTGTCCATTTATAAATAAATAAAATGAAAATATCCAGCACCAACCGAATATGGCAATTAATAGGGAGTAATGCTATTCGTAGTCGCTCATTGCGGTAGTCGCCTTACGTGACATACACATGACAGATGATTATTTAATGCATTAATGTGGTAATTTTTGTATTCATTAATGCACCAAATAACCACCTGCTATGTGTATGCCACGTAGGGCGATTGCCGCAGTGAGCGACTGCAAATAGCATTATTCATTAATAGGCATCCATGACATGTCAAAAGTTGCACCACTATGTACTAAATTTTGATTGGCCCAACCAATATTCCACGTGCATAAAATCTATAATTTTTCAATTAAAATCAATCTTATATTCATCTTTTATAAACTAGCAATTAATAAAATAAAAATTATGTTTTACATACACCTCAAAGTCGAACTACTGATTAAAAAGAAGTTTAAATGATTTATGTCTAAAGTTTCACATTTTTTTAAATGAAAGTGTATAAAGTACTAGAGCTATAAAAAGGATATTACTTCAAATGTATGTCCTAATTAACGGAAGAGCTAGTACGCGAAAATCATTCGGGCATACAAACCATCTATATCGTCCACTGGTAATTGTTAAATTCTCAAACCAAAAATTCAAGTTCTTAAACTGTAACGAATCTAATCTTCGAGCCTAAATCGTTAGAGACAAAAGACTTCAACATTATAAGTTTATAATAAGAAAAAGGTACCCCCACTCCATCTTTCTTGAATATATAGGTCAAGAACGGTTAGTGTCACTCAGTGATCACACTAAATGTGGTTTAAAGATATTATTACACCCACACATATACGGGCACGTACCCAAAAATGTTCCACATGACATTAGCTAACTGGAATATTTTATTTGTACATAATACGGTATTCATATTGGTGTTCACCCTCTCACGTGAAAAGGGACCCCTAATGTACGCGTAGCATCTCCTTTACCAAACTGCCATTACATACCCCACAAATGCTAAAACATAATCAAAGTGGAAAAGAAAAAAAAATGGAACAAGAACAAAAGCGTCTTAAACTAATAATTCCCATGTTTTTGCACCAGATTCATGTTACAAATAATTTTAAAAAAAATTATCAAAAATTGGGAAAGAAACACTAAAACCCGTGAGTAAGTACTTTTTAAATCCAACATATTTTCAACGAGATGAAAATCAAGAATCGAGGTCAAACATGTCATTAGACAACAAAGACTGGAATACCAACCACGTGGACAGAGCAATAGATAGAGAATCAGATTCACACTTCTAACACAATTTTGACCCACCAACCCCAAACTAACAAGAAATTAGAAAACACCCCCAAGAACCTAAATAATCTTTCTTTTTAGCCCCCCTACCCATCACATCTTTGTATCAGACAATCCAAAGTATTAAAAAACAACCCCAAGAACTGAATTATCTTACTTTTTAGTCCCTCTACCAATCATATCTTTGTACCTGATAATGGAATCCAACCTCTGAAGCTTCAACTGGTTCTTGAATTTGTTGATGAAATCATCAGCTTTAGCATCCACTTCATGGTCCTCCGGGAACTTACTATTCCCCTTCTCTCTCATCGTTGCCGGCCGCCGTGCCTCCACAATGTTCTCCTCGACAAAGTGCCCAAAAGCTGATTTCAAGCTCGTCGACTTCCTCATCCTCGCCGGAAGCTTCACCGGAATCTCACCGGAAGCCGGCTCAGTATCTGGCTTAGACCGAATAAAATCACTACCAGTAACTTCACTGTACACCTCATCCATGCTCCGCAGCTCATTTTGCTCAGCTTTCTGTTCATTGACCTCTAGGAAATCCAAATGGGTCGCTTTTCCTTCTTCAAAAATCAAATGGGCTTGCGTTTCTTGGAGATCTTGTTGCAAAATGTAATGCATCTGTGCCAGTGCAGTCTCATGATTTTCTTGGGAGCTTTCTTGATGAGATGGCTGAAAGAAATACTGGGCCTGCGCTTCAAAATTTTGAGCTTCGTGGGAGCTCTCAAGATTGAAAAGGTTGTCTGAATCTGTGACTGATTTCTGGCTGGCATCTTGAGATCTGTAGAAATTGATAGATTTCAGTCGCTGAAGAACAGAGGGGGATCTGGCAACATTTTGGCGTTGAGTGTCAGTTTGGGACTCTGTTTGCTGCTGATTTTGGTTTCGTTTTTGGTTTGTAAATGTTGAGGTGAAAACAATAGTGCCTACTACAACGTTGACGAGAACAAACAGAACAGTGGGAGTGAACCAGCTATTCATGGATTCCCACATTGAAGGTATTGCAGATGCGGACTCTCCAAACATTGTCGTTGCCTCTCTTGAAGAGACAGAGGAGGGTGTAAAATGGCTGTAACAAAATTTGACATTGGCCTTTGACCCATTAAATGAATTAAAAAAAAAACAAAGTAAGCAAAAAAAAAAAACTTCACAGTAAAAGCTCATTTTACCCTTCACATTGTTTGAAAATCTCTGACCGACCGATCGACACCGACTCCAGAAACTTGACCGACCGACACCGACACCACCGACGACGACCATCATCTACACCGGAAATAAAATAACCGGTTAGTTTTCATCACTTTTCTCCAGTTAATGCGGTTCATGTGCAAGTTTATAGCATTTTCCTTACTACGGTTTAATTAGATCCATGGGCATGAGTAGTTAGATTGTGAACATGTGAGAGTGTGAAAAATGTGGATTATTAGGTTTTTTTGGAGTTCAGTGGTCGGGAATGGCGATTTCCGGCCGATTCCCAGCCATGGTCGGTTAACAGTCGGGGTTAGTCTGGGCTAGTCTAACGGCCCAGACTGTATATATTTAATTTTAAATTTTTTATTTGATTAAATAGTAATTATGTTATTTATTTATTTAATTTTTTATCATTGTCAATATAATATAATAATTGAAATATTGTAAAATTAACAATGTTGATTCTTTTTTTTTTATGAAATTATCTTTAATTTATTTAAATAACATAAATAGTCTTTACATTTTAAAAAAAGGTAAAGTAATTATTTATTTAATTTTTATATTTGTCTTTTATATAATTTAATAATTGAAATATTATAAAATTAACAATGTTGATTCTTTTTTTTTATGAAATAATCTTTAATTTATTTTTTCAAATTTATTTAAATAATATAAATGGACTTTACATTTTTTCAAAAAATGTAAAGTAATTATTTATTTAATTTTTATGTTTGTCTTTTATATAATTTAATAATTGAAATATTCTAAAATTAACAATTTTGTGTTGTTCCTTTTTTTTTTTTATGAAATAATATTTAATTTATTTTTTCAAATTTATTTAAATAATATAAATGGACTTTACATTTTTTCAAAAAATGTAAAGTAATTATTTATTTAATTTTTATATTTGTCTTTTATATAATTTAATAATTGAAATATTCTAAAATTAACAATTTTGTGTTGTTCCTTTTTTTTTATGAAATAATCTTTAATTTATTTTTTCAAATTTATTTAAATAATATAAATAGTCTTTACATTTTTCGAAAATGTATTTAATTTGAAATTTTTGTTTGTAAATATATTTTCCAAATAATAATTATTTTATTTAATTATTTAATTTTTATAATTTTTTTTTATATAATTTAATAATTGAATACATAATATTGTTCGAAATTAACAATTTGTTTTGTTCCTTTTATTGTTCTTTTATGAAAATCTTTGATTTTTTTTCAATTTATTTAAATAATATTTATATTCTTTAATTTTTTTGACAATACATTTAATTTGATTTGTTGTTTTTTGTAAATATATTTTTCAAATGTAATATTTGTGATTGTATGGTAGTTAGAGTTCGGTTCTCTTGATTTTGTGATATTATGCTTTCTTTTGTTATATCTTGTTCAATGCTATAACATTTGAATTTTTGCAGGATGGAGTATCATTTAGATGCAGAGTTGAGACGTATGTCGGGGAAAGCTACTTGGAACAGTAGCTTTGAAAGTTTTACTACTGTATTGGAGCTGCTCGATGATTAGTACGGAGATATGCTACGACAGTCCTTCTTGTGGCCACTGTACTAGTTGCGAGAGGTGCAGTACTCAGGACAGATCATTGATGCACTTCTATGTCGGCTTCTGAGGCCAGTCGACGGCGATTCCCTCCAGTTTGACCTCGGGGGCAAGGTCGTCGGTTTCTCGATGTTTGAGTTTACATTGATCACTGGACTAAGGATTACGGGTGACGATGCAGCCATGGAGAGAAGCAATAGGCTGTACAAGACGTACTTCCAGGGACATGGGTCGGTGCTTCTACCCGACTTGATGGTCGCGATCAGGGGGTGCGACCATATGCTAGATAGATTGAAACTTGGGCTGGTCTACATCCTCGAGAGTGTGATGAGGTGTCATCACAAGAAGACTGCCATCGACATTTTTCATTTGCAAGTTGTTGACGACATCGATGCGTTTAACAACTATCCGTGGGGCCGAAGATGCTACGAAGACACCGTACATGTGTTCACCAGATTGCACTCGAGGCCCAAGGGGTAAGTATTATATGATTTTAATAAAGCACTGTACGCTAACTCGTCTACGCTTATTTTAACATTTCCCTCTTTTTTACAGAGTTAGCCGCACGATAGGACAAAGGACGGTCTCGGACCCTTACAAGTGGTTCCACGATATCACCACTGCGGGAGCTTGGCTCGCTGACGATGTAAGTGAACTATTCATTTCGTGTTTTTTATGTATATGTGACCTTGTGTTTATTAAATGAATAACTCATACTTTTTTGGTATTTTCTGCTGCAGCACATCGACCCGGCCATGGACTTGCTGCGAGATCGAGATCAAAGACATCCAAAATCATTTGATGTCCATGGTCGAGTCATATTAAACACCGAGTTCCTGGGTGCCGTTACTATAGAGTATCAGTCGCTCGAACTTATGGATAACGAGTACACGGTACCATAATATATGCTCGAGTGGGTGATAGGACTGTCACCGAGTGTCGGGGGAAAATCATGGGAGGGTTGTACAAATATGTACATTCCAGCGTGCATCAATAAACACTATATTACGCTGGAGATCGTTTTTGCTGACTCGACTATATATGTGTACGACCCAGATCATTCATGTTTGACACAAGGCCAGTTGGAGCAAAACCTGGAGTCCGTGGCTGTAATTGTTCCTATGATGGCCAGACGAGCGGGGATAAATGTACAGGACAGATTGCAGATCGTTCGGAACACGACGACAGCGCGACAGTCCGTAAGGTAAGTGTTTGAACTTTGTTGTTTTCATCTTTCAAATTTCGTTTTTATTTACACAGTACTGAACTGATTCATTCTTATTCAATTCCAGCGGCGACTGCAGTATATTTGCAATTAAGTACGTTGAATTTTTAAATATAGGACATAAGGTTGATGGAATCAACCTGTCGTGAATACAGAACTGGAGAAAGAAGCTAGCATGTGATTTGTTCGAATTTAATGCTGACCCGTAAATTTCATTTATATATATGTAACATTTTAATTGTAAATTTAATTATTTTTGTAATTATGAAATAATTGTAAATTTGTATTCAATGTATATAACATTCAAATTGTAAATTTAATTATTTTTGTAATTATGAAATAATTGTAAATTTGTGTTCAATGTATATAACATTCAAATTGAAAATTTAATTATTTTTTGTTATTATGAAATAATTGTAAATTTGTGTTCAATGTATATAACATTCAAATTAGAAATTTAATTATTTTTTGTTATTTTACCCATATGCTGAGTATGGAATTATTTTTTTCATATGAATCATTATAAATACCATTTATCAAGAATAAATATTGAATATGGAAGATTTATAAATAACAAATATTGAACATTGTAAAGTAAAAGGAAATATTATTCATTTCACGTACCTGTCTAGTCGTCATCTAGGGAAATTTAACTGGTACAAAATTGTCGAGTATGCCCTACGGCTCTGCACCTGCCACACCTACGCGGTCGAGGAAACTCTTCGGTAGATGGTATTCTAGATGTAATTGGACGTCCAGGACCACGCGGTTCAACTGCTGGTGGTAACAAATTATGAAATGGGAGAATGTGCTCGGGAACTTCCCACTCGGCTTCATTCGGCAGAGGAAATATAGTCTCGGCATATGCTGTTCTTCAAGACTCAGTCGTATAATACAAAGAGCATAACGTTCTCGCAGCAAAGCCTCGATACATGGCCACCGCAACTGCATGCTCACATGGAAAATTCTCCAACTGAAATCTCGTACAAGTGCATGTGTTATCAGTCAAGTCCACCATATATGTCGTATTACGTACACATTGTACGGAGAAACGAAACTCGTCTAGTGCTTCCACATTCAACTTCCTCGCAACCTCTGCCGCCTTAAACAGTTTCTCCTCTTGATCTGGGGCCAACACGCTAGTGCAACTCTGTGATGCCGCACGTCGGTCATGAAACCACTGTTGTAGCTTGTTACGAATGTTCTCAATCATTGCGAGAATTGGTAACTCTCGATCCTTCTTAAACAATGCATTGAGAGACTCCGGGTTATTCGACGTCATCATGTTGTATCGACGTCCTGGAAAGTATGACCGCGCTCAATGTTCGATCCCCATCTTCGTCAGATACTCCAACGCCGGTAATGATTTACTTCCTATCTCGAGCATGAACTTATTACACTCNAGTAACGAATATCGGTGGCATCGGAATGGATGAATCCCCATAACCGTTGAATAGATATCTCAATTGCATATCGTATTGAGATTAATCGACATTCAACTTATTTTACAAATCGTGGTACATTTCTAAGTATGGTGTACTCTCTGTTACGAGAATTGTAATACAACCACGTATGTCACTCGTCCATCTCCATTCCCACGGATTATTTTCATTCAATTCGAAATCACCGAAATAACACACGGGGATTATCATATCTGCATGAGGAAATGGTTTTAATCAACTTCATTTATTAATTATAAGAAAAAGGCCAACAAAAATCAGCTGCAGTCAGTTAATTGGCTGTTTAACAGCTGACCGCTAAGCAGTTGGACTGTTTCCGACTGTTTGGCTGTTTGTTAAGCCAAAACACCCAGTTTGGCGCAAGAGAATACCGTTCTAAAGTTATACATCTGTTTATTTTTTATTTTTATAGGTAAGATCGGTTAAAAAAAAATCTATGTCGACATAAAATTTCTCTATTTAAACGTATATTAATTTACTGAAAACGAAATTAAACATGCGTAAATGTACTTACCGATTTGAAGTAATTGATGTGAAAAAAATTTCCAACTTTAACGTTCCAAAGTTCTTCTAAATTTTGAGGTTCAAGCAGATGAAAATATGAGAGTTTTTTCTGTGTTGGAAGCTCGTTTTGAAGTTTTTATAAGTGGGGAAATGTTTGGTTTTCAATTATTAACTAAAAGGGTAGTATAGTCCTTTCAACAATATATTGTTTTGTAATTGTACAAAATATTTAAGGGCATCTTTGTCTTTTACCATACAAGAAGCCAATGTCATAATATTCATGATTTTGGAAGTCAAAGTGGAATATAGCTCCTTTGACTGGGTCAAACTTAAAAGTACCCCGTAAATACACGGGGTAATTTTTAGTTTGGCCAAATCAAAGTGGCATTTTTTCACTTTAAGCAAAAAATTTTGCCTATCACCAAAATGACATTTTATTAAGTAAAAGACAGAAATACCCTTAAATAGTTTATAAAATTATAAATATCGAATTTTGTTTCAAAAGACAAAAATACCCTTAAGTTACAAATTAAAAAATCAAACACTTTTCACTTTATATTTAATTATTTATTTTAAACAATTACTCAAATTAAAAAATTAATATTAAATTTACTTTCTTGTTTAAATATTTCATTAATTAATTATCTTAATCGGTTATGTATATTATTTATTTAATATTTAATTTCTTTATTTAATCACTTGCTTAAATAAAAAATTAATATTTAATTTGATTTTCTCATTTAAATATTTTATTAATTTATTATTTTAATTGATTATGTATATTTAATAAATTATTTAATTATTTATTTTAAACACTTATTCAAATAAAAAATTAATATTTAATTTTGATTTCTCTTTTAAATATTTCATTAATTAATTATCTGAATTGGCCCTCATTTAATTATTTATTTTAAACACCTACTCAAATAAAAAAATTAATATTTAATTTAGTTTCTCGTTTAAATATTTCTCTATTAATTATCTTAATTGGTTATGTATATTATTTATTTAATATTTAATTACTTTATTCAAATGTTCACTTATTTAAATAAAAAATAATATTTATTTTAATGTCTTATTTAAATATTTCTTTAATTAATTGTCTTAATTAGTTATGTATGTTATTTATTTATTGTTTAATTACTTTGTTTAATTATTTATTTAATCACTTAATTAAATAAAAAATTAATATTTAATTTAATTTCTTATTTAGATGTTTCATTAATTAATTATCTTAAGTGGCTTTATGTATTTAAAATTTAATTACTTTATTTAATTATTTATTTAATCACTTATTTAAATAAAAGAATTAGTATTTATTTTAATTTCTTATTTAAATATTTCATTAATTAATTATCTTAGTTAATTATGTATATCCTTTATTTAATATTTAATTACTTTGTTTATTTATTTATTTAATCGCTCAATTAAATAAGAAATTTATATTTAATTTAATTTCTTATTTATATATTTCATTTATAAATTATCTTAATTAATTGTGTATATTATGTATTTAATATTCCATTACCTTATTTAATTATTATTTTAATCACTTATTTGAATAAAAAATTAATTTTTAAATATTAATTAATTATTTAAATATTTCAGTAATTAATTATCTTAATTGGTTATGTATATTATTAGTCAGTAATATTTAATTACTTTATTTTAATTGCTTGTTTAAATAAAAACATTATATCATGTACAAGTGCCATAATATTATTGGAAAGTTGAAAAACAGTTTTTTCGATCCTTTACTCATAAAATTTCACGTATACATTATGGACATTCTTATAAATTAGTATATGTAGAATTATCCAATATTGAATTTGATTTCTCGTTTAAATATTTTTTTATTAATTATCTTAATTGGTTATGTATATTTAATTACTTTATTCAATTATTTATTTTAAAACCTATTCAAATAAAAATTAATATTTAATTTAATTTCTTCTTTAAATATTTCATTAATTAATTATCTTAATTGGTTATATACATTGTTTATTTAATATTTCTTTACTTTAATTAATTATTTATTTAATCACTTATTCGAATACAAAATTAATACTAAATTTAATTTATTCTTTAAGTATCTCATTAATTAATTATCTTAATTGGTTACATATATTATTTATTTAATATTTAACTAGAATATAAATCACATGATGCATGAGAATATCTAACAGAGATGGAAGTCGAATATTAGACACGATCACATTTTCAAGACATCGAACATTATTTAAGAATGCCGAAAATGTATTTCTTCTACTAAATGAAGTTAAGTGGGAAGTTCTCGATTATAATATGTTACTCTCTACCCAACGGATGTGTAATATCTATTTAAACCATATGTACTCTCTATTTATAGTATATTATTGGTTTCCTCAATTTTCTCTATTTATAGTATGTTATTGATTACGTGAAAATTGACCCGACGAATATGTAATAACTACTTAAATTGTATGTACTCTCTATTTATAATATGTCACTGATTTCCTCAATTTTCTTTATTTATAGTGTGTTATATATGTAATTAAGAGTAATTGGTTATTTATTATACAATTACATAAAAACTAAAGTATTATAAACGTTTTAAAAAAAAATGCTTACGTTTTAAATTATTACAACTATGGATCACAATGTAAATAAAAAAAAAAAGTTTACATTTTAATGTGTGTTTGGTTTATCAGCTCTACGTCACGTCTAATGCTAAAAATTCAATATACTTCAATTTGATCCGAATCCGACGAAATTAATGTGAGATGGATTTAGGGTTTTAATTCGATAACCCAATCGAGATTCAAATTCGATAATCCATTAACTAAATAAATCAAATATGGATGATAGATCGATCCGATCCGATCCGATATCACTAAAACATTCCAAAAGGATGAAATATATATATATATATATATGTGTGTGTGTGTGTGTGTGTGTGTGTGTGCGCGCGCGTGTGTTTTAGGCCTTCTATTATAATAAGTGAGCCCATCAAGATAGTTCAAATATTTTTTAAAATAATTAATTAATTAAAATCTTGTTGGGGCTATGATTTTCAAAGAAAAAATAAATAAAATCTTTATTTTTCTAATTTTTTCAATTTCGAATCTAATTTCTGATAACATAGTTAATCAGATATGAATTTAACATTCAAATATCCGTTGGATTATTGGATTGGGTCAAATAGGATAATTATTCTTAAC